TCAGATGGACTATATTAGATGTTATATTTAATATGCCTTAGAATATTATTTATTTATTTATTTTATTTACCTTACTTATATACCACTGTTCTCAGCCCGAAGGCGACTTACAGCGGTTCACAGCAAATACGAACAGCAAAAATTCAGTGCTACAGTATAGAAACAGTTAACAACCTAACACATTACACAATTAATAACAGTTACTACAATACCCATTCACTGTCGTCTCGTCATCAAAAACATGTTCCAGATTCGTCATCCATTGTTCCATTCCAGTGTTCATTATCCAATCATTGCACTAATTATCGGAACGCCTGCTCAAACAACCAGGTCTTCACTTTTTTGCCGAATACCATTAGAGATGGTGCTAGTCTAATGTCCGTAGGAAGGGCGTTCCACAGCCGAGGAGCCACCACCGAGAAGGCCCTATCTCTCGTCCCCGCCAGCCAAGCTTGAGAAGCAGGCGGGATCGAGAGCAGGGCCTCCCCGGAAGATCTCAAAGTCCTGGTGGGTTCATAGGCAGAGATGCGGTCAGGATAGGTAGCTTGGGCCGGAACCGTTTAGGGCTTTAAAGGCCAACGCCAGCACTTTGAATTCAGCCCGGTAGCAGATCGGTAGCCAGTGGAGTTGGCGCAACAGGGGGGTTGTATGCTCCCTGCGCTCCACTCCTGTTAAAATCATGGCTGCCGAGCGTTGGACTAGTTGGAGCTTCCGAGCTGTCTTCAAAGGCAACCCCACGTAGAGAGCGTTGCAGTAGTCTAAACGGGATGTAACCAGAGCGTGGACTACCGTGGCCAAGTCAGACTTCCCAAGGTACGGGCGCAGCTTGCGCACAAGCTTTAGCTGGTCTTTGACTTGATCTTTTAACACAAATCTGTTGGACATTAATGGCATATCCAAAGAGTAGCAAATATATTGCACTATTCTGCCCTGCTTTATCTCTTTAATGCTTTATTTAGATCCATGAAGGATTTTGTGCAGATTTTATGTTTATATACAGTCAAGGCAGAGGAAAGAAGCAATGGTCAAATCTGTTTTTAAAAAATAGAATGACACTAAAGTATGTCAGAGATCACTGTATAGGCAAAGTATACTAGCATTTCGGATCTAGTCAACATGCCTAAATACCCTAAAGGCATTAGATCTCATCTGATCTTGGAAGCCGAACTGGATCAGTTCTGCTTAATAATTGGATAAGAGATGGCCAACCAATACCAGGTGTTGTAGGCTATATTACAGAGGAACGAACTAGCAAAACTAGCTCTTGAGTAGTCTTTGCCTAAGAAAACAGATGACTTGATGGCACACACACATACATACACACATACAAGTAGAAGTCTCAGTCAAAGCCTAGAGAGGAGTTGTTATTTTTTTCTAGAGAGTTAGGCACTGTGAATGTCCTCTGCAGCCTGAATTTGACTGCATTATATTGTGCCAAGTCTACATTGTAGTTTATTTGGCATATTGTACATTGGTGATCACACTGTTTCTAACAAATGGCTTATATCAAGCCAATGTGTAGTCCAGTAGTATTATATCCCTATGTTGGGGACCAGAATAAGACACCCTAGCAACGCCCCCGCCCCTTCTCCTTTTCTTCATTTTCCTAGAGGGAAGGAGGTGGGAAGAAGAAGTAGCAACAGTGTGTGTGTGGCAGGATGGGACAAATGGTGAGTGGTTGTGCGTGGGGGGGGGGGGCAAGTTGTTTACCTAAGAGTGGTGAGGAGCAGGATGTCAAAAGATAGAAGAAATAAGGAGAAAGATGGGTAATTTGGGGAGGAAGGAAGATGGATGATCTGGGTGATGGACAAGAAAAGGGTGCTTTATGGTGCTAATAAAAGTTTGGTGACATTCTGGGATGATCTATAAAGTTTTCACACCAAGTTATGATTAAGAAGTTGAATGCAACATTTAAGTTAAGCTGAAAGCAGTAGTTTGAGAGATAATAAAAAATACAAGTCTCTCAAAACTTCTAAGAGAATAATCTATTTTAAACTATTCTGGGAATACTCTTGAGAATATTCTCATTACATAGTGCTAAATGGGCTTTGAATTCTGTTCTGTGAAGAAATCAGGTTGACAGAGCAAGGCATTCTCAGCAGAGGTACATTCTGCATGGCATATCCTCTCTCCACATTGCCCAACTGCTTAGCTGGAGCTCTCTTCTTTTAACAAAAGGGTTAACAAATCCCCAAGCGTATTGTGGAGTGGTTGATGAACAAATACTTTCATTACTGATATTTGCTTTTCTGCTATACTGTTCTTAAACTCTGAAATATTTTTACGGTGATTGAGATTTATTGGAATATGTTTTGTAGGTTTTCTGTATGATAGTTGTTAGCCACTCAAAATCACTCTTGTGAAATGTGGCAAGACATCAATTTCAAATATAAAAGTCAAGTAGAAGAATGGGCCATCACCAGAGTGGATGCCATTCAAGGAGGGAAAGGGCTGTGATGAGTATTCTGGAGGTGAATTGCCTGTAAGAAAGGAAAGTCAGAGAGGGCACTAAGAAACAAACAGTATTCCCAAATAATATTGTGAATGCAGTAATCCTTGGAATAAAGTCAGTAGGACTGGGAAAAGTTGAAGGCCGCAGGAAAAGAGGAAGATGAAGTGACTCAATAAACCAAACCCTGGCCCTGAATTTTTCAAACCCTGCTCTTTTGGAAGTCTCTCATTCTACACGGTCATAGAAAACTAAATTTCTACTTTGAATTGGATTATATAGCAGTGTAGAGTCATATATGTTGGAGATCAGCCTGAGACTCCTGAGGCTGATTGGTTCACTGATGATTTAGAGAGGATTATGGGATTGCCTGTTGGATTTCCTGGGGCTCAAAATGATGAAGATTCAAGTCAGGGGAATTATGCTTCTCTCTGTGAGAAATCTGACTTGGAAAGCTGAGGGCTTAAAGGTCAGTCAAAGGAGCCAGAAACTGCAACATTAGATAGGGAGTTGGGCGAAGAGATAAGTGATACAGAAGACTCCATAACTCTATAACCTGGAGTTATGGAGATCAACAAGGGTCTTTGTTTACAGATCAGAGCAAGAATAGGTATTGTAGGTCAGAGAGATTGTGTGGGAAAGTTGGGGAGATATTTCATGGGGAAAAACATTGGTGCCTATTAATTAGCAAGTTGTTTACCTAAGAGTTAGTTCAGGCAATGTAGCATTCAAGTGAGAAGCTAGACCTGAGTTCTCTGATTATTGTTTTAAGTCAAGCCTTTGGCTTTGGATTGAAGTTTCCTGGAAGTATTCTATGTTCTTGTTTTTATATTCTTGCTCAAGTTTTACTCAGTATATCTTTTGATTGTGTTCTTGTGACTTTTTGGCTATTCTTGGACTGTTTTACCTTGGGACCTGCATGGGAGATTTGGATCACTGTTCGAATTATCATCTATTGTTAAACCTTTTTGAATTATACATCTACTTTCTTTATTCCTGATGTTTTGCATATACTTTTAATGTGTTTCTACAGTAAACTGTTTATATTCTGGACTCTTGTGTGATGCTGTGGTCATAGGTATTCCTAGGGCTTGAGTTTAACAATATAATCCAGTTCAATACAGATAATGTGGATTATCTAATATGATAACCTAAAGTATATGGCAGTATAGAAGAGGCCAGAATTTCCATAAGATGAAGATAAATTTATGGCAAATCCATAAGATAAAAATAAATCCCAGCACAAGTGTAGATACTGTAGTAGAGAGAGCAAACTGGAAAATAACATTTTAGTATAAAACCATATTTTATGTCAGTCTGTATTCTTGGAAAGATTTCACTGTAGTAAACCTGTGTATTTAAAACTGAACATTTAATAATAGCTTAAATCCAGTTACTCTCAATTAGAGCCAATTCACTGATTTGACTGAAATTTAGCATATGTTTGTGAGCTACTCTGTTCAGAATAAAGAAGTCACTAGATTTAGGCAAATGATTTTAATTGCTTAGAGGCAGGATGGGGCAAATATGATCATTGTGGTGGTTTACTGTCTAAGTTGCTACTTCATGAGCAGTGTTTTGAGCACCGAATATCTGAAAAAGCTGAATACAAATGAAATGTTTTCATCATTAATTATTAAGGAATGTTTGATTAGGTTTTTGGTGTTAATTTCCTTGAATCATAGAGAAATCAGTATGTTATTTCTTATGATATGGCAAATAATGTCTGTAGGAAGATTATCAGTGTATTTGGAAATTGAATTCCAGATGTTAGTTGCTAAAAGCTGTGCTTGCATTTTCAAATGGCTGAGGTCTTTCATTTTTTCTGTCCAGTGTCCTAGGCTTAGCACCAATTATATAGTGATATGCAAATTTCAACAAGAATGCATTTCTAATTTTGAGCCAACCACATGTTAAGATACTTCAGATTAAGAAATAGTAGTAGACTTTCAATGAATTTTTGCAAAACATTGCTCCCTTTGGCTGTTATTCTTTCTTCTTCTAGCCATGGAAATGCATTCTTCCTTGGGTGGGCAGAATACTGCAGTGTTCTTTCAGCTCTCTGTTCATTTGCTTAGAGCTCAAGGGATGTAATACGCTTGTCAAAGTATGTGGTTCTTCCCAGCCTGAATTTGTGGTGTGTAGCACTCAGCCTGTGTTAGCAGGCAAATGGCTGATTACACCCCTGTGAAAAAGCATGAGAAAAACATACTTCATGGAATCCTTTAAATTGGCAGAAACCATAGAAAGCAGCTTTGGAGGCTGGAAGACTGTGAATGAGACAAAGGAGAAGTGAGGTCAGAGTGGCAGTGTAGGAGGGAGTGGCTACACATTCCCAGTGCCTTTGAATTTCATTATGAAATGATGTTTTGAGAAACAATACTGGTCTTTATCCCTGTATCCAGCCACCACAAGTCTGATTTTCAGCAAAATATTATAAACATAATATTTTAAAAACTTTGTTGACATTTTTTTAATTCCCGTGTCCCTTTTTTTCTTTACTTTTATCATAATTTTCTAACAAAATTTCTCTTTTTTTCTCATTTCTTAGCTCCAGTGATAAACCGGTTCACCAGACGGGCATCAGGTCAGTGTACTACATTTGTCTGTTCTGTTTTTCCTGCTATTGAAATGTTTCAAATTCTAATTTATTATTGCTTTACTTAAGAATGCTAACATTACCTATTGTAGAACTAATTTGTTTCCTTTTAGCTCTATACTCTCTCCCCCCAAAAACTGAAATAGTTGTCTTGTGACAAAACCTTGTTAATTTTAGAGTGTAAAGATGTCTAACATCAAGTGATTTCCGTTGGCTGTTGTACAACTGCCATGCAGGAATTTGTTGTCCCATTTGAGTGTGAATCTCATTTAACACTGGCATGGGCTCTCTCTTGACACCAGTAATTATATTTTCTGTAGCCTTTTTATCCTGGAGGAATTTTTCAGGTCTCCAGGAACCCTGACTTGAAAAGTTATATATCTGCAGTTCATAGAACGTATTTTTTTTTCAGTCATGACCTCCTATGGAACCCTAGGTTTCTAGGGAACCATGTTTGAGAAATGCTGATCTAGAGTATGTAGACAGATATAAATAAAATTACCATATGTTCTGTAGGTATTTCCACAGTGGTCAAGAAAATCCAAATATTTTCTCAACCTAAATGTTGTACCATCTTCTCAAATGTCAGGGCCAATTGTGAAGTAGTATTAGTTGTTGTTGTTCAGTAGTTTCCGACTCTTCATGACTTCATGGACCAGCCCACGCCAAAGCTCCCTGTCGGGTGAAGTTGTTGTGTGCCTTCAAATCATTTCCAATATATGGGAACTCTAAAGTAAACCCATCCCAAGATTTATTCAAAGGGAGTTTGCCTTTGTCTTCCTCTGAGCCTCACAGTATGACGTGTGCAAGCTCATCCAGTATGTTTCCGTGGCTTAGTGGATCCAAAACCTGGCCTTCTAGTCCAACCTTCAAATGACCACACCACACTAGCTCTTCCATTATGAAAACTCACCAGGAAAAAAGACTAGAATGACAGTGCTTTCCTTAATTACTACTATGTTCCTAAATACAGGCTAAAAGCAGAAGCATTTAAATTGTTTACGTTGTAATAATGTAATTCTTAAGCATTAGATTTTCACTCATTAAATCTTCATGTTTTGATTTAGAAATTTACTGATACGTTTGCAATGAAATACTGAAGATTGGGTTGTTGTAGGTTTTTTCGGGCTATATGGCCATGGTCTAGAGGCATTCTCTCCTGACGTTTCACTTGCATCTATGGCAAGCATCCTCAGAAGTAGTGAGGTCTCCAGGAACCCTCACTACCTCTGAGGATACTTGCCATAGATGAAGGCAAAACGTCAGGAGAGAATGCCTTTAGACCATGGCCATATAGCCCGAAAAAACCTACAACAACCCAGTGATTCCGGCCATGAAAGCCTTCGACAATACATTAAATACTGAAGAATTTCATTCTGAGACCAAGAGCAAGGCTTCACAACACCTTGTAACTGAATTCACACTTCGTGACAGTTATTTATTTATTCATCTTTATTATCTCTTTTAAGTGTAGGGTGTTCATCTTTCCAAAGTAAGACAATAAACCAGTAGAAAAAGCAACAATCTAAGGATATACTATTAAATTGGATCTCATTAAATGGCAACGTGGAGTCCTATTTTGGGAGAAAGGCAGAATATCTATCAATCAGTCAATCAAATCATTCAACCAACCAACCAATCAATCAATCATATGAGCCATTGAAGAAACGAGAACAAACTTCAACCATAAATAATATTTTTAAAAACCTGTTTCTCTCGCAAAAAGTACTTACTAAATGTGAGTGTTACAACATTGCCTTAAAATAGATCTTTTCAAAAGGGTCTTTGGCAAAACATTTTTCTTTTATTCAGTTAGCCAATTTTTGGGCTTGTTTTTTTTTAAATTTCAGAGACAAGGTTTTAACTCAAACCAAACTGATGTTAGGAGATTAGGTTGATAGGATGGGCACAGCTATGTTTTAAATTCTTACATACATACAAAAGTTATACATCTCCCAAAATCAAACAGTTGGGATCAATACACAAAAACTATGAAGGATATTAAAAACCCAGCAACCATCCTATATGTGGTTCTGTTACCCAGGGTTCTGTCTTTAAAGTCAAGCAGTGTATGGTACATTTCTGATATTTTTCAATAACGTGGGTTTATCTGTGTTAAGATACATATTTAAGAAAGATTTTCTTTTTCTTGGCAGAGCCTCCAATTAAATAGCCACAGGTTAATTGTAGAAGCACCTGCTGACAATAATGTGGGCTGTTAATTATTGAGTAGATATTCCAAGTAACATGCTGTGACTGTTAACATTTTTTTTTTCATTCTGCGTAGTCATAATTGGTCACAGCAGCTGTGATGGCACAATTCCTTGCAAATCAATCCCCCTGAATGTCTTTATCTCTCTCAGGATGCTTTGGTTTTGGTGGTGCTTTTGCCAGTCCTGGCCCCCAAAAGGGATTTTAAATTTAGGGAAATTTAAAAAGAGCCAGAGGGAGACGTTGCTTTGGGTTAAAGTGACATCACATCGTGGCTTTTTATGAATGTCAGGATTTTTTCACAATTGATTCAAGTCTTTCACATGAGCAAGAAAAGAAATGGTGGAAGGGGAAAAATAGTATACTTGTTCAAATTTGATCCACCAGTGCCAGCAGATGCAGTGAGTAACAACCATTGGCAGTTTCACATCCAGTGATTGCTGCTAAGCTGAGGACAAGAGTGGGATGATAAGGGTGATGTTGCTGAACCAGGTTCAGTGCCACTGGGCAGTGTGGACTTCATCCAGTTGCTGGGCTGGTTCAGTGCCTTGCAATGTGGACAGTTGCCAAGCCAGCTCTCCACTGGATCAGTCATGATGTACTGTATGTGGCCTATATAGATAGGCTTGAGAGTCAGCCCAAAATCGGATCCATTGGGTCCTTTATAGCAGGGTAGTGGGACAAGGGAGAAAATGAGTCCTTTTTATCTTTCTCCTACTCTCTCCTACTCTTTCCTAACCGCAAAGAGCACTACAAGATTAGTTATGTTAGTTGGACTGGAGCCCTGACTAGAAGTGCTTCTATTCAGTATTTGATGGTAACATACAAGAACAGTTTGTTACACGCCCACCACCCCTTTATTTAAGGCAGTATTTTATTCAAAGAATCACCTGCTGCTCCCTGCACAGCCTGTGTGGACTTACTTACTGTGGATTCTAATGAAGTCTCAATTTCAGTCCTTTGAAAAATCTCGTTTCCAGAATATAAAGATCAAAATTGCTACCAGAATTCAATAAACTGTGTATTTCAAATTGAATGTGACCAAGTATGTATTCCTAGCATGTACTGCCTTTTGCATACTCCATTGAAGAAGTAGGCTGTGTGCTGGTAGAGTCTTCCACAGCAGACAGGGTTTTGCTGAGGGGACAGACTAAATTTGTCAGAAAGCTACCAGGAAACAGCAAAATTTGGGGAGACTATAGTATAGTATTTTCAATTTCAATGTATGGTTGTAAAAGCTGGACAGTGAAGAAAGAAAACAGGAGGACTATCAACTCACTTGAAATGTGGTACCGGAGAAGAGTTCTATGATACCATGGGCTGCTACAAAGACTCCTTTTTTTTGTACAACTGGACTCCTTAATTCAGAGACTGATGAAAAGTTTAAGTCTAATCTGGAATTCCTTATTATGACCAAAAACACTACCGACATCACTGCTCCTTTTGCTCCTGCTGGTATTCACTTTTAGAAGCTTTCCAGCCTGTCCTTCTCCCAGATGTCCTTCCCCCCCTCGACCACTCCAGGATTAGGGACCCAATTACTCCCCTTGACCCAGCGCAGTCCATGCAGTGGAGTGCCTCACCAGTCCTGCCGCTGAGCCCAACACCACCGAGAATAACTCAGACATCTCCTCCTTTACTGCTGCCACCAACACCATTTCTGTCATCAACAAAACTTTTCCATCTTCAACCCACTCCACTCCTCTTTCGCGACTGTTTTGCTGAGTTTGCCCTGTTCTGGGTGTCCACAACATCTGATTATGGGTGCTTGCTATTGTCTCCATATGTTACACCTTAGACTTCAAGACAGCAGTGCTTCTTGTAGCCATTGCGACAATACTGTAATCGGTCTACCCAGTAACGTCTTCTCCCAGTACTTCATCACCCAGTATTGTCGACTTGTGGTAACCTCATGATTTTCATAGAGTTTTCTTAGGTGAGGAATATTCACAGATGTTTTTGTCAGTTCCTTCCTCTGAAATATAGCCACAACAACCGGTTTTTGTTTCGGTCTCTCATCCAAGAACTAACAAGGACTGATACAGCTTTGCTTCCAAGACAAAATGTGTTGCCTTTGGGGTATTTAGGACCTTAATAAATTATGTTGTATACATAGCCGTGATTTACTTTAATTTCTCTCTTCAGTGCAACAACACAAAATGCAGGAGGGAAATTCTGAGTACCACTGGAAATAATACAAATGGCATACCAATCTGTGAACTCCTATGTCCCTTGACGCTGAGGCAGTAGAAACTGTGGGGCATGTTGTACTGTGGCAGTAGAAACTGTGGGACATGTTTATTGAGACCTTCAGTAACATTTTATCAACCAAATTTTCCTAAAAATTTGGGAGACCTCAAAGTTTTTATATTGATTATCTTTTGACAGACCAGTCTCACAAAACTCAAGCCAAAGTTATTTTTGTGCAGCAGCAATAGCTGGGATGCTATCACAGACTTAAAAGGTTCTATTATTTTATCTCATCTTTTCTCACTGTTATTCAAATATATAAATTTTTAATAATTTTTAACTCTCATAACTTGTTATTTTAATGCCTAAACTTATGTTTACTTACCTTTTAGTGTTTGTTTTAATGCTGGTCATTGACCAAAATAAATAAATATATATATATCAACCCTGGGTAATATATCTGCTTGAGATTTTTGATGGCTACTTACAAATCCCACCTTCAGTATTTTATGACTGTTTTACTGCTTCGCTATTTGGGTCTCTGATATTGATTTATGACCTGGCTCCTTAACCTTGGGCTATTCCAG